CCGTCATTGTTGTTTGGCGGGTCCAGGCTGGGGATTCGAACCCGCCACCTTAGGTGTACGTGGCTGGCGCCTTAGCCGGTTGAGCTATAGGCACCGAGCCGGAGAAAGCTATTTAAATCCCGAAACCAGTCTGGGTGAGGTGACTCAGGCCTGTAATCCCAGCATTCTGGGAAGCCAAGGTGGGTAGAATGCCTGAGTTCAGAGAGTTGGAAACCAGCCTGAGCTAGAGTGAGACCACACCTCTAAAAATAGCTGGGCGTTATGGGGGACACCTGTAGTTGCAGCCACTTGGGAGGATGAGGCAAGAGAATCACTTGAGTCCAAGAGTTTGAGGTTGCTGTGAGCTATGACACCAGGGCACTCCGAAAAAAAATTCTTTTAATTAGCCAAGCGTGGTGCACACACTTGTAGTCTCAGCTTCTCAGGAGAATTCTCATGAGCCCCTCATCCCCGAGTTTGAATTTCAGTTACAGTGAGATATGATGGAGTCACTCACTAAACTCTAGTCTAACAGAGTTAGACTCCTATCTCTAAAGAAAGCCCAGTATTTGTGATGCCCGTAGGACAGTGGTTAGTACCACATTGGCCACACACACCAAGGCTGGTGGGTTCAAATCCTGCCCAGACCAGCTAAACAATGACAACCACAACCAAAAAATAGCCAGGTATTGTGGTGTGTGCCTGTAGTCCCAGCTACTTGGGAGGCTGAGCCAAGAGAATCGCTTAAGCCCAAGAGTTTAAAGTTGTTGTGAGCTGTGATGACACAGCACTGTACTGAGTGCGACATAGTGAGACTCTTGACTCAAAAAAAAAAAGCAAGCAAGCACACTATTCTAGTCAGGTCTTTGTTTTTACAAACTTTGGGTTCCATATCTCTACCTAGTCTATCTCCTACAGCAAGTCAATGAGCATTCAAAGTAGAAAAACAAGCACTTACCAGCCTTACTTTAAATTCTTGGTCACTAATCTAAAACATGGACTCAGGCTTGGCGCCCATAGATCAGTGGTTAGAGCACCAGCCACATACACAGGGGATGGCAGGTTCAAACCTGGCTAGGGCCTGCCAAACAACAATGACACCTGCAACAAAAAAAAACAGCCGAGGCTTGGTGCCTGTGGTCCCAGTTACTTGGGAGGTGGAGGCAGGAAAATCTCTTGAGCCCAGGAGTTGGAGGTTGCTGTGAGCTGTGATGGCAGGACACCCTACCCAGGGCAACAGCTTGAGGCTCTGTCTCAAAAAAAAAAAAAAAGAAAGAAAGAAAATAGCTGAGCATTGCGGCAGGTGCCTGTAGTCC